GAGAGCACCTCACCTGAATCAGGTATATTTCATCAGTTAGAGTTACACAATATATAAGGTGACTATGGGACAAAGTGGAGACCCCATGCTCCAATGTGAGCAAAATTTTCATTTATTAACATCAATTTCCCTTGAAAGTACGTACCTGTGAAGTAATACAATAGTCAGCTATGGAAACATTAGAGGAAGTCATAAAGAAGCTCACTCATGTTAAGTATTTACTGTTTCCCAAAGAAGAATAAGCCTTGTGAAATTCTGCTTCTAGCCAACATCGAGTAACAGACCAATTTATCCTTCTACCTCAAACAGCTTAAAAATGAGCAAAATATATAAAACAATGACTTGCAAGACTTGAAGGACAGTGATCCCTAAGAGGAGAGGTGTGCCCTATGATTGCTCCAGCTTACTTCCTTGAGAGTTTTCAGGCCTGGCATAAGGAGAGCCCAGCTGACTTCCAGCTGCTCATGGGGAGGTGTTTCACTGACGCTCTCTACTACAAAATTGGCTGAGGGAAGTGCTAGGGGAAGCTAAGGTAGATGGGTGCTGCCACCACCATGCACTGCAAAAGATGGCAGTGGAGAAAGTGTGAACATGGCAGGAGCCTGGAGCCAAAGAATACATCTGCATTACAAGATCTGGGCATTGTGGCAGCCAGGCCAGTTGTTTTATGTGAGTCAGTGATAGGAAAGCTGTCTGTGCTACCAGGCATTGGGAGAGCTACCTGGCTTGCAAAACCCACGCTCTGGGGACACTACATGCACTGCAGGAACCACAAACAAGCCTCTTGCACTGCAAAAACCTGGCACTACATAAGCCTTCTGCATTGCGAAAGCGTGTATTTGCAAGCAGGCTGAAAGGGAGAAAGAAAACCCCTTTCTCCTGCAATGTGTCCCTAGGGCCTCTATTGACAAAACTAAGCATGGTTCCTGGAAGCAAAGAGAAAACATATTAAGGGTCCATTAATTTTCTCAGAGCAGGTGGTAAAGGGTGAATTGGCACTGAGAGGCAATGAATTAATTTTATATAGACATTGACACAGTGATTGTAAATCTCATGTGGAAATTCAAAGGGCCTACCACAGCCAAAACAACTATGGAAAGGAACAAAGTTAGAGGACTAACATTACTTGATTTCAGAACTATTATAAAGCTACTGTAATCAAGACAGTGTGGTATTGTCTTACAATAGAACAGAATTGTGATCCCAGAAATAGACTCACATAGAATTAAATTTTTTGAATTAAATTTCAACAAAATTTTCAAGGTAATTCTGTGGACAGTCTTCTCAAAAAAAATGGTGCTGAAACAACTGGATATTCATACACACACACACACACACACACACACACACACACAAAATGAACTGAGATTCATACTTGACACTGTATACATTGTAAGACTAAAATAGGTGAAAATGGGTAATGAAGCTAAATGTAAACTCAAAGATTTTTTTAAACTTCTAGAAGAAAATATAAATGAGCCAGTTGCAGTGGCTCATGCCTGTAATCCCAGCATTTTGGGAGGCCAAGGCATGAGGACTGCTTGAGGCCAGGAGTTTAAGGCTGCAGTGAGCTCTGATTGCACCACTGAACTCCAGTCTGGGTGACAGAGAAAGACCCTTTCTCAAAAAAAGGAAAAAAAAAAGAAAGAAAAGCAAATACAAATGAAACTTTTGTGACCTTGGGTTTGGCAAAGATTTCTTAACTAAGACACCAAAAGAATGACTGGATTAGATATAACCCATAAAAGAATAAATGGATGAATTAAAAACTTCTGCTCTTCATAATAGAACGATTTATAATCCTTTGGGTATATACCCAGTAATAGGATTGCTGGGTCAAATGGTTTTTCTATTTCTAGATCCTTGAGGAATCACCACACTGTCTTCCACAATGGTTGAACTAATTTACACTCTCACCAATAGTGTACAAGCATTCCTATTTCTCCACATCCTCACCAGCATCTGTTGTCTCCAGATTTTTTAATGATCGCCATTCTAACTGGCGTGAGATGGTATCTCAATGTGGTTTTGATTGCATTTCTCTAATGACCAGTGATGATGAGCATTTTTTCATATGTTTGTTGGCTGCATAAATGTCTTCTTTTGAAAAGTGTCTCTTCATATCCTTTGCCCACTTTTTAATGGGGTTGTTTGCTTTTTTCTTGTAAATTTGTTTTAGTTCTTTGTAGATTTTTGATATTAGCCCTTTGTCAGATGGGTATATTGCAAATATTTTTCCCATTCTGTTGATTGCTGATTCACTCTAATGATTGTTTCTTTTGCTGTGCAGAAGCTCTTAAGTTTAATTAGATACAATTTTTCTATTATAAAGACACATGCACACGTATGTTCATTGCAGCACTGTTCACAATAGCAAAGACTAGGAACGAACCCAAATGCCCATCAACAATGGACTGGATAAAGAAAATGTGGCATATATACACCATGGAATACTATGCAGCCATAAAAAGGATGAGTTCATGTCCTTTGCAGGGACATGGATGAAACTGGAAACCATCATTCTCAGCAAACTGACACAAGAACAGAAAACCAAACACTGCATGTTCTCACTCATAAGTGGGTGTTGAACAATGAGAACACATGGACACAGGGAGGGGAACATCACACACTGGGGCCTATTGGGGGGTGGGGGGACTAGGGGAGAAATAGCAGGGGGTGGGGGATTGGGGAGGGATAGCATTAGGTGAAATACCTAATGTAGGTGACAGGGGGATGGATGCAGCAAACCACGATGGCATTGTGTAACAATCCTGCACAATCTACACATGTACCCCAGAACTTAAAGTATAATAATGAAAAAAAAAACTCCTGCTCTTCAAATGTGATTTTAAGAGAAAGAAAAAACAAAACAAGCCACAGACTGGGCTGCAAATTATATATCTGATAAATGACATGCCCAGAATGTATAAGGAAACCTTAACATTCAATGAGAGAACAAACAACTCTGTTTAAAAACTTGGCAGACAGTTTAAGCAGACACTTTGGCAAAGAAGATAACTGATGACAAGCATATAAAAGATGCTTATGATTCTTAGCCATTAGGGAAATGCAAATTAAAACAACAGGAAGATACCATTACTCACCTATTAGAATGACTAAGATTAAAATGATCAATTCTACCAAGTGTTGGTGAGATATGGGAGAACTAAAACCCTCATGCACAGCTGTGGTTTTCACTTTAGAAAACATGCAGTTTCTTTGAGAGCCTATACCTATTGTGTGAGCTAATGACTCCCCTCCTGTGTACTTACCAAAAGAAATGACAGGGTATATTCATACAAATACCTGTACACATATATTCATTGCACCTTTATTTGTAATAGGCAAAAACTGGAAAGAACCCAAATGTTCTTCAGTGGGTGAATAAATGTTTTTAAAATGTGGAATATCCATACACTACACAGCCACAAAAAGAAATGAACTATTGGTGCAGACAACTTCATGGACAAATCTCAAAATAATTATGTGTAACGAAAGAAACAAAAAAGCACACATCTTACAGTTCTGTTATAGAAAATACTAGAAATTGCAAACAAAGGTATAGTGCCCAGAAGCATATTACCTCTTGCGTATGGACAGGGAAAGGAAACAGCGGGAAAGCTTACAAAAAGGGATTACAAAAACAGCATAAGGAAACTCTTAGGGATGATGGAAATGTTCACTTTTCTTAATTGTATGATGATTTTATATCATATAATCTCATGGAATTTTATACTGTAAATAAGTACAGTTTATTGTGTATCAATTATATCTTCATGAAATCTTTTTTTAAAAAAGAATTATTTTCCCTTCTACACTATCATCCCATTGTGTTAACTCATATGACTGATTTTACCATTTTGACCAAATAGACCAATTAATAGAATGAAGTTAAGTGCAAGGCAAAAACTTTACCTCATGAGTACATAAAAGAACATGCTAAAGGCATTACTCACATTACTTGAAGAACTAAGACAAGTACCAGGAAATAATGTGATAGCATTGCATAATTTAATATCTTCAAATATGCTGCCAAAAATTCAGAAATCAAAGTGAAGGAGAACCCCTAGAGTAGAGGATTCTATGCCTGAGGTGAATCTATAGACTTCTACGGAGAGAGAAAAGCTGTACTTTTCTTCTTACATTTTGAAACACATAAATTAAAATAGTCACTTTTTAAAATAAGTGTTAACCATTGAGTTCTCAGGTAAGCTAGAAATGATACACTGCTCGTAGGAGTGTAAATTAATTCAATCATTGTAGAAAGTAGTGTGGTGATTCCTCAAAGAGCTGAAAGCAGAACTACCCTTTGACCCAGAGATCCCATTACTGGTTATATTCCTAGAAAAATATAAATCATTCTATCATCAAGACACATGAACTGGCATGTTCATTGCAGTACTATTTGCAATAGCTAAAACACAGAATCAACCTAAATGCCCATCAGTGGCAGACTAGATAAAGAAAATGTGTTACAGATACACCATGGAATACTACGCAGCTATTAAAAAGAATGAGATCTTGTTCTTTGCAGGAACATGGATGGAACTGGAGGCCATTATCCTTCACAAACCAACACAGAAACAGAAACAAACACCACACCACATGTTCTTACTTATAAGTGGGGGCTGAATAATGAGAACACATGGACAGAAAGAGGGGAACAACAGAAACTGGGCCTACTTGAGGGAGAAGGATGGGAGAAAAGAAAGGTTCAGGAAAAAAAAAAAAACCTATCAGATACTACGCTTGGTACCCAGGTGACAAAATAATCCGTACACCAAACCCCCAAGTCACATGTTTGCCAAAATAACAAACCTGCACATGTACTCCTGAAGCTAAAAGAGAAGTTAAAGTATTTTTTAATGGAATTGTAAAAAGCCTGCCTTTCATCTATTCTGTTGTTTAACATTGCCTCGTAAATTTTTTTTCACAGTGGTTTTGATTCAGTGTGTTGACATGGGTTTTCTCTCTCTTTCCTCTCTGTTTTGATATGCCAGATGTATCGTTAAGATTACTGGAGAAATGGTGTTGTCCTTTCCTGCTGGCATCACCAGACACTTTGCCAACAACCCATCCCCAGCTGCTCTGACTTTTCGGGTGATAAATTTCAGCAGGTTAGAACACGTCCTGCCAAACCCCCAACTTCTCTGCTGGTAAATATGATTTTGCATAAATTTTTCAGAGATATAGGTGGCTTAGTACTTTGTACTTAGATGAGGAATATATCTTTTCAAGAGAGTCGCACTGTAATGAAATTACCACCACTCAGATATATTTGTAGATTCAGACACAGAACTTTTACCAGCCACCAAAATTCATTGCGGGTGATTGTGTGTGTATATGTGTGACTGCATATGCATATATGTATTGTAATGGCCAACTATCTCAAGTGGTTAGAGAGAATCAGAGTAAGAAAATCTGTATCGGCAACAGTTTATTCTTGTCTGCTTCACTTATTATCAATAGGCAGCGGATAACGATGGTGGGAAATTAGCCAAATAACAAGAATGAATTCCTTTCATTGTATGAGCATCTTTTTATTTTATTTATTTTTTTTTTTTGAGATGGAGTCTTGTTCTATTGCCTAGGCTAGAGTGCAGTGGCACCATCTCAGCTCACTGCAACTTCCGTCTCCCGGGTTCAAGTGATTCTCCTGCCTGAGCCTCCCAAGTAGCTGGGATTACAGGTGCCTGCCACCACGCCTGGCTAATTTTTGTATTTTTAGTAGAGATGGGGTTTTGCCATGTTGGCAAGGCTGGTCTCAAACTCCTGACCTCAGGTGATCTGCCCACCTTAGCCTCACAAAGTGCTAGAATTACAGCCATGAGCCACTGTGCCTGGCCCTCTTTTTAAATCAATTGTTTGTGTATGTCTGTATTTAATAGTTAGAAAATGTGAAAAATTACATTTATGTAAACATAGTTGCCTAAGTTTCCTTTATGTCATACATGTAAAGTTCCATCAAAATAACGATCATTACAATGAAATTGTATTAACTATTAAACCTGAATTTGATGTCTTTATTACTTATATGCACGTGCACAGTAACACAAACCCGCATGCATGCATGCTATTAAAATGATCAATTATACAAGTTAATTATTTGCAGTGAATGCGCAGAAAGGAATCTTCTTGACAGCTTCTCCATCAAGTCCTGATGTTCATCTACAAACCTCTAAGTGGTCACCTTTTTCTTTACTGCAACCTCCCTTGTCTAAGTGACCACTGTCTTTTCCCTGTACCATCACAATTGTTTTCTCCTTCTCTCCCTGAATCCAATCTTGCCCTCTTCAATACACTTTAACAGCCAGGTGGTCTTTTATAAGTAAATCAGGTCATCGTTGTTCACAACTCCCTGGTGGCTTGACATTACACCTGTCCCAGAATCTAAACGTGGGGCCCTGAGTGGTTTACCTTGCCTACTTCCCTGTTCTCATCTCCCACCATCCTGCCTCAGAATCCTTTTAGCTCCAGCAAGACCTGCCAATCTCAGAAACAGGCTGAGTCCTTTCTCACAATAGGGCTTTGTAGTTCTTGTTTTGCCTGGAATACTGTTTCAACCTTCTTCACCTGACTCCAACGCATCCTTTAGTCTCAGCTCTACTCTGCCTCTCGGACTATCCCATTCTCCTCCCCACATCTCCACCGACCAGCCCCAAACTATTAGCTTGGTGCAAAAGTAATTGTGGTTTCCAAACACCACATGTTCTCATTCATAGGCAGGTGTTGAACAATGAGAACACATGGGCACAGGGAGGGGAACATCATACACTGGGGTCTGTTATGGCGTGGGGGGCTAGGGGAGGGACAGCAGAGGGGGTGCGGGGAGGTTGGAGAGGGATAACACTGGGAGAAATGCCTGGTGTAGATGGCGGGGGGATGGAGACAGCAAACCACCATGGCATGTGTGTACCTATGCAACAATCCTGCAAGATCTGTACATGTACCCCAGAACTTAAAGTACAATAAAAAAATTAAAAAGTAATTGTGGTTTCTACCATTACTTTTTTTTTTTTTTCTGAGAGAGAGTCTCACTCTGTCACCCAGGCTGGAGTGCTGTGGCACAGACTCGGCTCACTGCAACCTCTGCCTCCCGGGTTCAAGTGATTCTGCTGCCTCAGCCCTCCGAGTAGCTGGGATTACAGGTGCCTGTCACCATGCCCAGGTAGAGACGAGGTTTCACCATGTTGGCCAGGATAGTCTCTAACTCCTGATCTTAGGTGATCCACCTGCCTCGGCCTCCCAAAGTGCTGGGATTACAGGCTTGAGCCACCATGCCGAGCTTTTACCATTACGTTTAAATGGCAAAAACTGCAATTACTTTTGCACCCCCTTGTTATTCTCTCTAAAGGTACCTGTTCTTTTCCTTTGTAGCACTTACTACAGTTAATAATGACATATCTATTTGTGTTTCTTCATTCAACCATCTCGCCCACAAGACTGTGCAAGCCATGAGGGAATGGAACAAGTCTCTTAATTCAAATTATTGCTTCAGTTTCCCTCTGTGTTTACGCTGTGCATGTTCAACCAGTTTAATTTTCAAGGTTTCTCCATCTGAAATTAGGAATTATGTGCTAATATCTTGCCAGTTTGTTTGTAAATATGACTGGTGTGATAGTTACAACTTTTGTTGCATTTTTAGGCAGTAACATTGCCAAGTTCTCAGGCATATGTGCAAGAGTTATATACATATATTAACATATTGGTCTGATAAATAGAATCAAATATCACTCAGAATGGTTTTATTTAACAAAATATTATATAGACCATTGAATTATTATTTGCAAAAGTTAAAAAAAAAACAGAAATGAAATATATTCCATTAATTTGAATCTTATGAACTCTAAATACTTGATCCCTGTAACAGGGCTGTGATGAGTGACCATTTAGTCATCTATAGTCTCTTTAGTTAGCAGTGCAACCCACTGCCATGACCACCACAGCCATCCCCAGTTTTTAAAAGGCATTGTTGACCACACATTATTTTAGATTGCAGTACGAGCCTTCAGTGTCTATCATCAACCAATTGTTTCCTTCATGTTTACTGAGGAAGACTTCATATGTCGCCGTGGCCCCTGGAAACATTTAGGTTTGCAATCCTTATGACAGGGGCCACATTCAAGTTTATATCTACTTTTTTCTTATGAAAAAAGCTTGCTTGTTACAAAAATATTCGGGAACAATTGTCAACTCCAGTATGACGCCGAAGAATGCTCAAGGCTTCTTGAGCATTTAAGAATTTCATCTCTGTGTAAGCATTTGATTAGCAAAGCATTCTTGAATATTTATTAAAGCAGGTTCTCTAAGAAATTATCACAGACCTATGGCAGCCTATTTTGCTATTAAACTCAGCAAATGCTGTAAAATAGTATTATATAATTGAGGGTTTCCCAATTATTCAAATCTACTTAGTGTACATTAATGACATGTTGCTGGATATTAATTCCGAGCCTCTGTTTTGGCATAGTGGGAAAGTGTGACCTGTACAACCAGTATGGGCTGGGATCAAGCTCTGTTTCTTATTCGCTGCATGACCTTAAGCAAATCACTTAATTTCACTGACCCTCTGTTACTCTTATCTCCTGCCTGCTTGTGTAGCGACAGCTCTGGGAACTTGGGTAGCTTAGATGCTTTTCAATCTAAAAAACCTGGACAGCCCTTTCAGCATCCCTAGCTCAGCTGACCAGGGGCAAAGTCTTAAGTGCCAGGTGTATTTTCCACCCCCTTTCTCCATTCCCAGAGTCAAAGAGCTTTACCTTGTCCTCAGTAACCTTCTACCAGAGACAACAAAACCACGCTGGTCACACTGAGACTTGGGCACCCTTTCCTAACAGACTAGTGGCGGTTTTAAGGCCCTAGTGTTTTTTTACTCAACTCTTGATTTGTGTGACTTCTGGAAGCTGAATCATAGCAACTTACTTTTGACCTGTTTTTTTCACAGTTTCACTGTGTCAGCCTTCTCCCTTCTCAACCCCTAATTTTCTCTTTTTATAACAAGTTTGCTCATCTTTAAAATCAAAGACAATAATTCTCCCTTTGCAGGGTAGATTTTAATGCAATAGTTTATAATGCCTAGCATAATTTCTTAAGCACCTATTATATGCTGTTGCACTATATAGGATATTCTGAAAGTGAAGTGTCAGCAAATGTGTTGTGTGACAAGTAACTGAATCACTTGGGGCCTCAGTTCCTCATTATATGGGAAGTAAGTCGGATATCTGTATATTCTTGCCTATTCTTTTTTTTCATTGAGATGAGCATTTGCAAGATAGATTTGGTAAGTGGTCTGTATTCAGGCCTCTGACCAAAGCTAAGACTCTCAGAAGGATATAAAACTCCTTAGCTTGTAAAGACTGCACTTTTCTTCTGTGTTATAATATCATGATTACTATCATTTAAGCTCCAGGATCATGTTGTAAGTGAAGGGAAATCTTTGATGATTTAGATACTTATGGATGAACTATTATGTATGCTGAAAGGTAGACTGGTAATTTTAGTATCACTCTTTTCTGCTTAATTGGTGATAAAGATCATGTTTACATTTGGCCAAATATTTCACTGGATAATTTCCGAGGCATTGCTACTCAAAGTAATTCAAAAGAAAATAAATGTATTCAGTTCCTTAATTGTATTAACTGACTAATTTAGAGAAAACTGGTGCTGTAGAAAGGGCTATGAAGTTTGAGTTAATAAATAATTCACTCTTTAAAGCTCCCAGTTATCACTGTGATTAGTTAGTATTACTGGGCACTCACTGAGATTGATAGCAAGACAACAGCTCCTCCCTGTGGATTAATCTACCGTCATGATATCATTCAGAACTGTATTTGTATGAAAACCACAGTACTGTTAATAGATTCATAATAATTTCTACAAATAGTCAAAAGATGACACTAGATATCAGATGACAATTTGCTAAGCTGCTTCTTGTGGGATTTTGATTTGTTATTAGATGCTACTCAATCATTTTTCTTCCCAAATGAACAGTGATAATACACAAAATGATGCCAACACCAAGGAATTCTGGGTAAATATGCCAAATTTGATGACTCACCTAAAGAAAGTGTCTGAACAAAAACCCCAGGCTACATATTATAACGTCGACATGCTCAAATATCAGGTAAGCCTATTTACATGGTACAGATTTCTTTCACATGACATATTTGTTTTCTAAATTACCTACTATTGAATAAAAGTAACTGAAGTAACACTTCTTTTAACATTATTTAAAAGCTATAATTCATTTATTTAAATGGAAACTTCAAAAGACAACTTGGGGACTACTGACAAAAAATATTCATACATATTCTTATTAGCTTAAGCTTACAAGTAAAATATTTTATCACAAAATTAGAGAAATGTGCCACAAAAAAATGAAGTTGCAGAACATTATACCAATTAAGATTATAAATTTATACTGATAAACCAGATAATTATAATTTTGTTAAGAACATTACTATACTAAAACCTCTTATTTTAAATGATTCAATGTAAACAATCTGCTTTTGTTTTTCTAGTAAGATAGTCCTATGAAAGGATTCTAATAAAATCTAACATTAAAAAATAGTTCAATAATAAAAGAATATTTGATACGTATAGTACAATATATGCAAACTTTATTTTTATATCTGGGATTGCCTTTACCTCAAATTATTATTGATAGTAAATAATCCTAATTCCTACCTGGATCCTATAGTGCCTGAGTCTCTCACTGATTCCCAGCCACTTGACTGCCTATATTTTTTGGGGTTTTTTTGAGACGGAGTCTCACCCTGTCGCCCAGGCTGGAGTGCAGTGGCACAATCTCAGCTCACTGTAATTTCTGTCTCCCGTGTTCAAGCAATTCTCCTGCCTCAGCCTCCTGAGTAGCTAGGATTACAGGTGTGCACCACCACACCCAGCTAGTTTTTTGTATTTTTAGTAGAGATGGGGTTTCACCATGTTAGCTATGCTGATCTGGAACACCTGGCCTCAGGTTATCTGCCCACCTTGGCCTCCCAAAGTGCTGGTGCGTGAGCCACCACACCCACCAACTGCCTAGATTTTGTTACACTTTTTTTTTCATTGACAGGTATAATTGTATGTCTGTATTAGGTACAATATGATATTTTGAATATATGTACATTGTAGAATGACTAAATTCAACTAATTAACATATGCATTACCTCACATAGTTATTTTTGTAATGAGAACACTTTACATTCACTCTCTTTAGCATTTTTTAAGAAAACAGTATATGATTATTAACTGTAGTCACCATATTACACAATCGATCTCTGGAATTTGTTCCTCCTATCTAACTGAAATTTTGTGTCCTTTGACTAATATCTCCCCAAACAAACCCCCACCTCCACCACTGCCACCACCTCAGCCTCTGGTAACTGCCATTCTACTCTCTGATTCTATCAGATCAACTTTTATTTTTATTTTATTTTATTTAGTTAGTTTTTTTGAGACAAAGTCTCACTCTGTTGCCCAAGCTGGAGTGCAGTGGCACAATCTTGCCTTATAGCAACCTCCACCTCCCGGGTTCAAGCAATTCTCCTGCCTCAGCCTCCCATTTAGCTGGGATTACAGGCATGCATCACCATGCCTGGATAATTTTTGTATTTTCAGTAGAGAAGGGGTTTCGTCATCTTGGCCAGGCTGGTCTCAAACTCCTGGCCTCAGGTCATCCACCCACCTTGGCCTCCCAAAGCACCACTGTGCCCAGCCAAGATCAACTTTCAAATATTTCACATAAGAGTGAGATAATGTGGCATTGGTCTTTCTGTGCCTGGATTATTTCATTTACCATATTTTTAATCCATTATAATTTTTTATTAAATATGTTCAGATTATTTTTCTTAAAATGAAGAAACTAGTACTTTAATAAAAATCAGAATATCTCAAACTTGGCTGTATTTCTCAGTCACCAAGGAACTTGTAATTAAATGCTGGTTCTGAATTGATGCTAAAAACAAATATATATATGTATATATATAGTTAAATATAATAAATATTAATAACATGTTATATGATTACATTATATAATTATATATAGTATGTTATATAATTATATTAGGTATTATATTGTATGTTATAAATAAATATTATATAATATATAATGTGTTATAAATATATAATGTATATCATATCATAAATAAATATTTATTTAGATTATTTAAAGATAATATTATATATATATGTGTGTGTGTGTGTGTGTGTGTGTGTGTGTGTGTGGTGTTAGGGCCTAGCAGATATATATATATATATTAAATATACATCTATTTTATTTTATTGGCTTAGAATGCAACCCAGGTATCTGTACTTTATACAAGTTCCTCAAGAGATTTTATGCATCCTATGCTTTGAAAAACATTTATTTAAAATGTTGTAAGGAAACCATGTAAAGTAAAATGTCTATATAATGGTACATTTTCCAAAAATGCAAAAGAATATAATTTTTTCTTGTGAGAATAGTATCTACTCTTTGAACATCACGGATAATACTTACTAATATATAATGTGGCATAAATTCATCACTTATAAATTAAAATATAATAGAAAACACATTTTATTTAGCTTTTTCCCAAAATATTTAAATATGCTTAGTGAGAAATGAAAGGAAATAAGAAAAGAAAACTCTAAATGTGATTTTTTTCTCTGAATGAGAAGTTAAATTCCAAGGCAGAAGGCAAATTTCATGCATGGTTTGTATCCCCAAAGTGTGGAAATAGGATGGCAGTTCTTCACCTTCGTGGACTCTATGTACACTGCATGTACATTTTCACTTCAGATTAAATGTTTGTTTGAAATTTTAAAATCCTGTGGAGTTTTTTTTAATTGCTGTGTTTGTTATTAAGTAAATCTAGAAAGTAGATAGAATTCACCTATTGCAATAAGAGCTTTGTGTAAAGTATTAAAATGTAGGCAAGGTCCAGGTGTAGTACTAGAAAGTAGGCAAGGTCTGGGATTACACCTGTAATCCTAGCACTGTTCTAGGCTGAGGCAGGAGGATCACTTGAATCCAGGAGTTTGAGACCAGCTTCGGCAACACTGGGAGACCCCATCTCTATTCTTTTTAAATAAATAAATAAATAATGCATAAGCAAGATACTGAATTCTGGAAGTAAGTCAGCTTTCTACTGGCCACTGACCTTGGTTGCTTTATATTCCAAAACCTCAGTTTCCTTATGTAAGAGTAAAAATGATATCTACCTATTTTATAGGTTGCTATAATAAGCTAACAGCCTAATATATTTCAAAGTACTTTATGAAATGTAAACAGCCCTAGACTTGCTGTTTTATTTTAACATGTGCTCTGAAGAATTCCTTTGCTGTTGCTTACCTGTCTTTTTGTTGTTGTTTTTCAACAATGCAAGGAATTGGGTGGAGAAGCACAACCAGCATTTTGTGGAATTGCCCTTAAATTGCAGCGTGTTTAGTTGCAATTTATATTACAACTAAATAATGGCCCCGTAGCATCCCCCCAGAAACTAGAACAATCAAAAACACATTTTCATATACCCAAAAAGCACCTTCCCAGGTAGAGGAACTATAATCAGGTTGAGAACTACCACTGAGGACAGAGTCCAGAAAATGGGGTGGGGGAGGGATATTGCTCTGCTTTTGATCCGCTTTAGTTAATAGATTTTTAAATAAATGTTTGTCTGCAGAAAGCATTATGCTGCCAATAATATTTAAAGTTTAAAAACTATAATGGTTAACTAGTCTAAATTGTCATCAAAAGCCATATCTTTCATTTTATAAAAGAACTCATTTTGGGTCTTGTTTCTGCCATGACCACTCCTGCCTTGAAAGTTCAACCTGCCTTCAGGACCCTTCTCCATGGCGACCATATGCACAAACATTTCCTAGACAGCTGTTTATATCATTCGAAATCAGCAAATCTCATCATACTCCATGAATAAAAATCCAAGGGCATAGTTACCACTCATCTGATCCCTGCAATGTACATGTACGTATGAGAGGTGACTCTCTTGGAGACTTATTTGCCACCATAATGAACAATTGAGAATTGTAACACTGTAAATTTTTCACTGTGGACTCAGAATTCACATCAATATTATTGCCTTTAGATAAATGTTTGTTTTTTCTTCAAACCTGGTGGGGTTTTTTTAAGTCAATCTCACAGTTGATTCTAATTAGTATTGACAGTAGATTCTAGCACTGTAGCACTTTCAGCTAGAGGAATCCCAAAGGAAGTAAGGGAAGTAAATTCCTTTGGAATTTGCCACAGTAAGGACTTGAAACCAGGTGTAAAATCCCAAAGCAGTAATAATAACCTACCTTAGTCTAGCTCATTGGTTTGTTGTTGAAGAGCAAATATGGTAAGAATATTAAAGGTAACACTTACCAAAATGTAATTCCTTAGTGTGTGCCAGGCATCCTGCTGAGTGTTTCACAAAAAACATCTCCTTCAATCTTCCTGACAACCCCGTGGGTAAATATTATTTTTATAATTCCCATTTAGCAGATGAGGAAAGAAAAGAAGCTCAGAGAGGTTTAAGAACTTGTCCAAGATCACTTAGCTTGTAAGTGGAATGGCAGAATCAGAACTCACACCCACGACTGTCTAGCTTCTCGGCCTCAGCTCCTGGCCAGCCTGCTAGTCACCTCCTTAACTGACATGAAGTGTATTGGAAACTCCAAAGTGCTACAGAGACTCTCGTAGCTGCTTTCGTGTTTTTAGTCTGTAATGGTTTACCTGAAGCACCCAGCTCTCTCTCACAACACCCTTCATGCTGCCTCTCACTCATGGTTGCTTGTGAGCAGCATAAAAAACATTATGACATTTTGATGTCTAAGAACATCCCTGTGGGAGAAAATCATAGCTTCTGGTTTGGTTTCAGATTATTGGTCAAACCTTAAATATTCTCTTTCCTGTCATTTGGCAAGGTGTCTGCCCAGGGTATTCAGTCCACGCCTCTGAACCTGGCAGTGAATTGGCGATGTGAGCCTGCAAGCACTGACCTGCGCATAGATTACAAATACAACACAGATGCAATGACCACCGCCGTGGCCCTCAACAATGTGCAGTTCCTGGTCCCCATCGACGGAGGCGTAACCAAGCTCCAGGCAGTGCTCCCACCAGCAGTCTGGTATGAAGCCTTCTATTCTCTCAACCGCGGGGCTCCTCTGGGTCAAGGGGTCACAGACTTCTTAGCACTTGTGTTTCCTGTAGGAGGAGATGACAGCAGTCCTGTGTGTTGGGGTTCAGGGCAGAAAGTAGAAACCGCTGGTATCTATTTTAAGCAAAAACTAATTCAACGGGGACTTCAATGCTTACGTAATGGTGGAAGTGCGAAAGGAATAGACTGGATGTCTAAACATGCCTCCCAGACCTCTGCCGAACTGGCCTGCCACAATCCGGGGAAGGAGAGAAATCAGAAGGCTTCCTGTAGGACCACTGAATTCAAGAAGCCAGAGCTGTAACTCTGATCCTAGGACCAGCAAACACCTATTGGCACCTCCTTAAGTGCTTCTCGGCACCCCCAAACCAGAGGCTAGAGTGGACTGTAGGACCTAATTTGTACCTAGGACCCTAACTGCAAAGGCCTCTGAGAAATGTAGTGTTTCATTTTCTAGCCTCTGAACTATAAAAGGCACACTAGAGAAAGCAAGGGTCTAGAAACTGAACAGATTCATTGTGCCTATATCATCTGCTATAAAGGACTTGTTCTAGAAAGAGCACTTCATTTTTTCCATATGACTGTCACAAGCAAAAAGCAGAATTTGTTTTAAAGATGAATGTCAGCCAGATCATGACCCCAATTTTAATTACTTTAATTAATTGATTAATACTCTCATCTGTCTTCCCATGTATCTGTTTTAGCAGATGTATATGAAAAAAATTATTTAACTCCACTTTGTCCTCTAAATGTACATCTCATGGTGGTCTAGCTAGTTACAATAAGGTCAGGTAAAAGAGAGATTTATGTATGTCTGGGAGGGGAGAGAGAGACAGAGAATTTTTGAATTGTAGTGAAACTTTTCAAGATCTAGTTTTAAAAATTAATACTACCCAGAAAAAAACATGGCATCCACTAAACAAAAACCCTTGCATATGCAAAAACTTTTTACCTAATTTATTTTTAGGAATGCTGAACAACAAAGAATATTGTGGAAGATTCCTGATATCTCTCAGAAGTCAGAAAACGGAGGTAATGAAATCACAAGCTTATTTTATTTAACATGTAAAACTAAAATAGCTTTTAGGTATTTGCCAACTATTACCCAAAACATGTAGCAATAAAAACAAACAGAATATTTCATTCCATTTTTGCATTTACTTATTTCAATTAATAAAAGCAAAAAATTCAAAATTCTTCAGTGAATTCTCTTTTCCGTTTTCTACAGACTCCATATCAAACAAACTATAGTTCAGTCCTCTTAAGGAGTCATGTTTCTATCCTGTGTCAGATTCCACACTCAAGGATTAGATATTTTTCACTCTCCCCAGATATTAATTATAGGCTGGAAATTACAAGGGCTTCAACGTAGCACATCTTCAAATTTTGAGGTACCATCTAACGGAAGTAGACTGTTACCAGTGTGCAAATAGAGTTGCTCATAATATTCAATGATAAATTTCATTTAATCACCATTTTGTCAATAAAGTCTGCTTTTGTATGTTCTTTTGAATGCAATGTTCGAAATTACATCCAGAATATTATGTTGACTGTTACCTTGTAATACTTTTTTTTAGGGGTGGGTTCTTTGTTGGCAAGATTTCAGTTAGCAGAAGGCCCAAGCAAACCTTCTCCATTAGTTGTGCAGTTCACAAGTGAAGGAAGCACCCTTTCTGGCTGTGACATTGAACTTGTTGGAGCAGGGTATCGATTTTCACTCATCAAGAAAAGGTTTGCTGCAGGTAAATGAGTATCTCGATTTTTTTCATTTGCAAAAATAATGCTGCCTTGACTACTCTTCCTTAAGAGGAATAGGTTGTGATTTTCTCATCTTTTTCCTCCACCTCTTTCCCACTTTCAACTCCCATCCCAATTAGAAAACAAACCAATTATTGAATGAAATAGAAATAGGACAATGAAATAGAAATCCGAAGTCAGGAGGCTCTGGCTACTCATCCTAACACTGTTTCTTAAGTGGGGCTAGCCAGTTGTTCCAAGTATATAGATTGGTATACTCAGGTTAATGGAGTAAATCCTATCTTTATTATATTGACAAACTAGATAAATATTGTTTGCCGTTTGCCTTTTTTTTTTTTTTTTTTTTTTTTTTTGGAGACAGAGTCTTGCTCTATCGCCCAGGCTGGAGTGCAGTGGTGCAATCTCGGCTCACTGCAATCTCCCCATCCTGGGATCGAGCAATTCTCCTGCCTTAGCCTCCCGAGTAGCTGGGACTACTGGTGCACGCCACCATGCTGGCTAATTTTTTGTATTTTAGTAGAGACGGGGTTTCACCATGTTGCCGGGCTGGTCTCCAACTCCTGAGCTCAGGCAATCTGCCCGCCTTGGCCTCCCAAAGTGCTAGGATTGCAGGTATGAGCCATCGTGCCCAGCCTTGCCTTTTAATTTATTTCCCACCTGAAAACTTTTTGTTCTCTGAAAAGGCTTCATAGAGTTTAGGCTTGTCAGGTTTAGCTGAGATACGGGAGAATCTATTTTTCACTTTGAGTTATTGCAAACTGAAAGAATCTAGGTCACAGATCAAAACTTGTCACCCAAAAGCTGAATACGGCCATGAGACAGGTTTTATTTAGCACAAAATACAGAGTTTTGTTTTGTTTTTTAATTGGGGGAGAGGAACTCTCTAATACTAGAGTGATTATACTTTTCAGAGATTTGCTGGAATAAATCCTGTTTTTTCAATGTTTATTATACTGGTGTGATTATTGATTATACCCCTTTCACTCTAAAAAATGATCCAAGTTGGAAAATAAGTTATATGAGCACCCTTTCTAAAGTAAGTTGGATTCTCACATCCAGAAATAAATCTCCCAATCTATTCTGGGCAAAACCCAAACCTCTGCAAAATGTTGATCTATGAAAATGTGAAAAGGCAACTAGCTGATCTGAAAAATTGAAAATTGATTTGGAAACTTTATGTATCTTTTATTCGTATCGTACCTCTAACATATGCAGTAACCGCTCCTAGGGGCAGGGAAGGAGGAATAGAAAAGTTACCCATATAACAATTACACTATTGAACTAACAGGTAACCTGTCGACATGTTATTTTGTTTTGCAGGAAAATACTTGGCAGATAACTAATAAAATCTCATGCAAGGATTTGGAAGATTCATATATTGGAGAACTGATATATGAGAAACAGGTTTTAATCTGGGTTTAATGAAAACAAACCAATATCTGCACTTGGGATATAGCAGGTGGAAAGTCAATGACTTTCAGCTGTGATTTCCCTCACACAATACCTTGATGACCAGTCCTACAGTATTTGCTTCTAGGTGTAATATTGTTAATGGTTTTAAAATGTAATTATTGTATTTGTAAATTGTACTCTCATTCCAGTAAGGCAGTTAGACACTTGAGTTTTAGCATTTTACCATTCCTGAAATGGATGTAATTTAAACTGTGGTATGTAAATTTAATAGTAGTATTGTTGAATGGCACAATGCTTACAGAGGTAGATTGCATTTTGTCAATATATAAAATTTAAATATAATATTGATAGCTGTCATAAAGGGGGTGCCACATATTAAAGAAACTTAAGTGGAACCAGAAGAAAAAGCAACAAACTTACTTTTCTTCAATCCTTAGTATGTTTTACTCTAGTGCTAAATAGAAATTCTATCTTCAAATGTTTAGTGGGTTAAATTGAGAAACTATTTCAGAAAAAAAATTCTAAGGTTACAGCATATTCCAAAAAAAAGCATTAGTTACCACTTTTTAAAGAGCTTTTTTTTCAAACTGCAAATTTCATAAAAATGCAAACTGTGTAAACAGGGCCTCTTATTTTTATAACTTGTGTAAAAAGGGAAAGCAATTCATATTTAAAGTTTAAGTATATTAAATTATAATCAAGAGTAAAGAAGATGTTGAAGTCTTAACTCCTTGCCCCTCTCTACAGTTTAGCAAATGTGGAGATTGCTGAATAATCAGATGAAAACCAAAATTGTGGTTTTAAGATTTCAAGACTTTCCATAGTTGAACTGGTTAACAACTTTTGATCAATTACTCTGAATAGATAGATGGTCTTACTCATCCAGTATGGAGGAATGATATCTTGCATCTTCCTCTTTACCCACAGGAATCAAAACACTGAGACTGAGAATTTAAAAAAAAAAAAAAAAAAAAAAATCCCCCATTAAAAACAACAAGGAGGGTTTTAATCATTGTTTATGTCATTTGAGAATGGAAAAATAAACTTTATAAATGAAATTCTATTCACATTACTGTGTGATAAATTTCCTTTTGGATGATTAGGATTCATTGTATAAAACTAAATCTTTGCCATTCTCAGAGAATCAAGAGGAGAGTTATCCAAAATGTATGTCATTTCATGGTTGCAAGGTATAATAAAAACTGCAATTATTCAATCTGGTCCCACAATATGAACATTTAGAAAGACGAACTTCTTCAGGAATCTCAGTTGTAAAACCTTCCCTCGTTAAGCTCTGAAAATGATAGTCTTCCTTTAAGTCGTATTTAAACATAAACCAATTTCTATTATAGGTTATGCTGTTAAATAACTATAATTATTAAGTTATTATTTTTATAATTAGTTGTTAAATTTCATTTTATATCCACTCAAATTTAACAAATAATCTTTAGCCCCTTTAAATTTTAGAATCAAATTAAATTTTTAAAGTCTTGCTTCTAAAATGAGATTGTGACTGGCAGTTGTTTATAGTGAAATTTTTTAATTAATCTTTGTACTCCTCTATGAGTGCTTGCTACCAAGAGACTGTTCAAAATGATTTGTTTTACCTCGGAAAAATTCTTACTATTCAACAAACTCTCTGTTGGCTCCCTAAAGCAGTCTGGTGTTGAAGCTTCTTTAAACAAACTAATTAATATACTCCTTTTATGTAAAGGTATCCAATTTGATTTTGAAACCAAAATAGAAAATGCAAGATTTTAAATTCCTTGAAACATGGAATTTATGATGCTAAAATCAATGGAGAGTAAGCAGCAGAAAATTGAGAATTATCCAGCATATGAATATAACAATGTGTTTTTTAAGTAATCAATTCATTTAAAAAATTGAATATTAATACAAAGCATATTAAAAATGTGTACATATTACTGGTTCTCATGTCTTTGTATTTGTATTTTATTTTGTTTTATTTTATATAGATCTAGAATGAATTAGTAATTAAACCCAGGGTTTTTTTCCCAAAAAAATAATTTTATTGATTTTTTAAAATGTAATTAAAAACATAGATTACAGTAATCTCTAACATTATTCAAATGTTTCTAGGGACTAAATTAGAAACTGTGAAGAAATCCTATGATCCCTTAATTGGTCTTTATGAAACAGAATGGGAGTCAGCAATTTCAAAATGATTAAACTTTGAATAACCAGAATCTCAATAGAAAATGTATACCTTCACCTTTCAGAAAAGAGATCAAATAATAACACAATAAGCTGGTATCAGGGATTTGCATTTTGACATTTTGTTTTGTTTTGTTAATTTGATAGGTTATAATATCCTGTTAATCTATATCCACAGTACTGTAGAATAAGCATTCATATCCTGAAAAATGATCCTACGCAATGGAAGAGTCTGTTATTAAAGACATATTAAGTCAGATCATTTATTTATTTTATTCTCAAATCAGAATAAAATAAACTACTATGTATTAAAACGACTTTCAGTACTAAGGGTTAAAACAAAAAGAAATGGTCCTAGTTAACCAGAACGCCATTTCCTGAATGTTATAATCTTTAAAAGGTTCTGGTTTAGCAAGATAAAAAGTATGAATGATGCTCCTTTATTTTGGCAACATGGAAGGTATGTTTTTCTTTTCCAATAAAATCCATATTTTCATGAAATTTTTAAAAATAAATTTTTATTAATAATTATTCTGAATTTTATCATAATTGAAATTTGTAATTACTAAGAATTAAATTTTTAATCATTTTTAAAGCTGTATTCTTCTCTACACCCACAGCCAAAATGAAAATTCACTGCATGGCATTTGGTAATATATTTCACCTGTGAAAGAAAAAATGTCCACAATTCAAAGGGTTTTGAGTTAATAGGAATCCCTCAAACTACAGCATTTTTTTGTTTTATATATTCTTAATCAGCAAAGTGTTTGAGCCATAATCACACATATTTCCATTTCTAAAATTTGCTTTAGAAAAGCAGATAACTATAATACATTGGCTGTACCACTAGCTCCTGCTGTATGATATTGGACAAGTCACTGCCCTTTTCAGTTTCTCATCTTTAGCTGAGGAGTCGGGGTTGCCAGTGGTTTTCAAGCTTTTCTTAAAAGCAGGACTTTTTTTCTAATAAAATTGTACATGGAATCCTGGTAGTCAAAACAGCTCAAAGCAAAGCAGGAGTTTCTCCAACAGTTTAAATCTGGGTTCCTGAGAGCACGGTTTAAACACTATAGCAGCACACAACGATCTATCAAATGTCCAACTCTGAAGTTCCACAATTCTAATTTACACAGAGAAACCACCTTTTGAGGCTTTATAAGCAAACCTGTAAACTGATATACAATAAAAATTGACAGAGAGCTTACTGTGTACCAGTCACTACAGATATTAGCTCATTTAATCCTCTTATCAATCAAAAAATTGTAAGTACTCTTTTTAATTCTTGTTTTACAAGTGATGACAATTGAGGCTTAAACAGAATAATTAATTTCCCCAAAATGACACTGCAGCGGGAAGTAACCCAGTTATTCTCACTGCAAAGGAAACGCCTTATTTGCTTTGTCTATCCTGAACAAAAAAATCTGTCTTATGTCACTATACATACTCCATCTAATGCCAAGAGAGAAGGCACCAGGAAAACACATTACCAAAATAAGGATAATTCCAATAACTAAGTTGTCAAAAAAGAATCAATGCTTCTCAAAGTCTGATTTGTATCATCACTTATTAATGATTTTGGTTTGGTCACCACTGTATCCTTAGAGCCTAGAATATTATAGGCATTTATCATCATGTGGGGTTACAGTGTTTAACTGTAAACACCGTAACACCACACAAGTTATACACAGTAGGCATCGATACATTTGTATTGAAGGCATAAACTTCTAGGGATGGGACTTGGGATTATACATTTTGATAAGTACCCTAAATTTGAGAATCACTGCTCTAGTAGATCTCTAAGGTCCTTCTTAATTCTGACATTATATCAGATTTTAAGCATTAAATTCTAAGATGAAAACCATTTTTCTAGTCAGTTTTTCATTTAGTCCACTTAATTTCCTCTCATCTTTCCCTAGGAAAATCCCTATCTTTTTCTTAAAGTTATTCTGTTAAACCATCTCAATCTCAAAGTAGCTTGAAATGCATTTTCTCCTTTTCATATTTCTTTCCTTTTCTTCAGTGTCTTAAAAGACTTGAAGTAGTAGGGAGGTTGCAAGCTGTTATTTATTCAGTCTTAATAAATGTTTCCTTTTTTGCAAGGGACATTCAGATCTCTAACTTGTGAGTTGAATCTGTTTATTTTATAAGCTTTTGACTTTACAAACATGTAGTAGCCTCATTCTAAAAGAGTTGCACCAATATTTTTTCTCAAAATAACCACAGGCTATAAATTAAATTGAATGATACAGCAAAATATGCAGATACCTACTAAACAGATGAGTGTGTGTGTGTGTGTGTGTGTGTGTGTGTGTGTGTCTGTGTCAGCTTTTCCTTTTCCAAAAGATTATACGTTTGAGCAAAATCCCATTCAGTCTAAATGTACTCATTTTGCCACATGGTCTTCTGATCAGCAATTTTTTTAAAATGGAAGCATGATATTATACTTAATAATATCAAAACAAGAGTGATCTCTAAATATAGCTTTGAAAGTTAATATAAGTAAATATGATGTGTCCATGCAATGAGCCTAATTAAATTGTTGATATGAATGAACAAATCAAGTTACACTGATTAAAGGAACTGTTCTGATGACCCATCTCCCTACCCTTTACTGTGTGCATTTTCCTCTTAAGGCTTTATTTTATTTTCCCTGCTCCTTTAGGCTCTTTTTCCCACATGGCAATCAGTATCTAAATGCCATTCTCTCACTTATGAATTAAATAGAATTAAATATGGCTACCATTATGTTACTTTTTGTCAGTGGAGTGTATGGAAGGAAAATGAGTTAGGAGTACATTGCTTAAGTCTCTAAATACTAAAAACAAACAACAACAAAACACTTGCCTTTCTCTTGTGTCATTGCTTCAATGTTCTGTCAACATTCATCAAGCTGGAGTTGCATTGTTGTCATCTAATTAAGATCTAAATATCTGTCATGAAGGCAAGTCAAATGTAAAGTCTGTTGAGTTGACCGTGGCAAACCTCTTGATTGGCCCTCACATTTAATATCTGATTTCTATCCTAAGTGGGTATGTCTATGAGGAAAAGACACCCATTTGTTGACACTGACCATGGATGTAATAATTTATTCTCTAGGTTTAACTTCTAAAATAATTTGTCCTCTGATTTCTGACTGCCTCCTTCTATCCCTAGAGTCATACCTTGCCTGTCTTAAATACATCTTTATCCTTGTAAAAAAAAAAAAAAAAAAAAAAAAGTTTTCATGAAAAGTATATTTTTAAATGTCCCATAATGTTTTAAAGAAAAGAAGTAAAGTGTATTTGGGCTATGTTCACCAATATTCCGATATTTTACAAATCATGTTCTGACAGATGTTCACTGTGGTCTGAGAAAAAATGGTCCTGTACTATGATGCTTTCTACTTGGACATTAACAATAAATGTTAGTGTTTTAATGAAGCTTAAGAAAGTTATTGAATTAGGTAGAAACTTTTTTTTTCTAAACACACCGGAAAAACCTTTGGAAAAGTTTTAACACTAGTTTATATATCCTTCAATAATTGCAAATAAAATAACCAGGAATGCTTGAAAAAATGCTTCTGGAATTTTGTTTTGATTTTAAGGGAATTCCTGTTATTTCAAATGAATTGTTATCTATTTTAAATTTCATTAGTATCTTTTAGTGAATTTAACTTTATCATCTAAAATATTCAAAACAAAACAATAAAATTATTTTAATTGTTTTAGTATTATTTTTAAGGCTTGCACCTATGACGAGAATATCGGACCCCTATCTATTGAAGAGGTTTCCAATTCTTTGCAGTGTGGAATTAATGCTAGTGAATTATCTCCAGTAATAAGCATTTCACTGTTTTATTTAGTTTTGCTTTGCTTTACTTTACTTTGCCAATCAGTTGCTTTTATACCAAATCAACAATATTTCTTTAAAAACTTCCTGGGTAAATTGTTATATAGAAAAAATTCAAACTGAATCACTTTGCATTTATCTAAAGAATAGTTCAGTTTTTAATCCATCCAGAGTTTATGAATCAGCCTGATAGGTCATAAGCCATTTATAATTTATAATTTTTAAATGTTCCATTGCATGAGTTTATCATGCAAATGTTAATTTCATCTCACTCATTCAGTTTTATATTATTTTGATGACTTTTTCTCTGGCAAAGTAAATGCTTGATGTTATTCATATACCATCACTTTAAGGTTTTTTAAATAATCCAACAAGTAACTATCACAAGGACTACTGTCCCAAGATCCAAAGTCAAATTTTTTTTCTTTAAGTTGCTAGAATGATAATTTGTATAGCTGTGTTGATTTTTCAGGTCAGAATTTAGTTCTTGCTTTGTTAAATGGACATACATGAAAGAGATTGACTTCTATCTAATTCATATTCTCTGTCTTTCTCTCTCTCTCTCTCTCTCTCTCTCTCTCTCTCTCTCTCTCTCTCTCTCTCCCTCTCTCCCTCTCTCCCTCTCTCCCTCTCTCCCTCTCCCTCTCCCTCTCTCTGTCTCTCTCTCTGTCTCTTCTCTTTGTCTAAGGGAATTGGAAAATTGCTGCTGAACAATTTTTCTTGAAAAAGCCAAGTGTTGATACGATGATACATTAATCTTATCTATGAACAGAGCTTCACTGCAGGCCAAGCAGTAATGTATAAAACTGTCTTTTTAAGCCATTTCAACACTATTGTTTTCAATTAAAGAGAATTCTTGTTTGTTTTTCACTTGTACAGTCAAAGATCAAATGAATTAAATGCTCAGATATTAATTTTCATTTGTACTAAGTGGCAATGTAAGGCATTGATTTTTTTAACTTGAATGATAAGAGAAACTAGGAATCTCAGAGCTTTTGCTGTGTTTCTATAGATAATGAAATTCTGTTAATTAAGGAAAATGCTGCGTGTAGTTTGATTTGGTGGCAGCCTTTGTTTAGAGTTCTCTGATCTATCATTAGAATCTCAATGATCTAGACTGATCTATTAGCAAAAATAGACTAAATTTCTTTATAATCTTGTAATGACTACATAATTTCACAAAATTCTTTGGGCATAAAATATTTATGAAAGGAATTGTGAATGAAAATACTCAAGATACTTTTAAAATTTAGTCAAAATGTTGATTCCTGGCCTTTTTCCTACACGTATATTTCAAAAGAGAATACTTTATTCTGACAGCCATCACTGCTTAGTCTGTGATGGAAGCTTTACTGCCTCTATGCTGTGCTCCAGAGAAATCCAGCAGTGGAAGCAAAGGCTTGCTCCTTCATAGAATTGCAGCAAAGCTCTCTGCTGAACATTGGTGACAGGAAAGTGTGTAATTAACTTGCTGAAGATAATCATGAGACCATCTTAACTTTACTTGCCTTATAAGTTAGAAATAGTATGGATATCACTTTTTGTAAATAATAATTTTTATAAATGTTTTTTGTTCATAATTTTCCCAATCACCTATTTCACAAAATCCTGAATATGCAATTATTTATTATGACACATTACTGCAACGAGGGCTCCCATTCCAGAACAAAGTTTAATTATATATGTAAGTTGTTACTGAAATGTGATTTCTTTTTCTGGAAAATAAATGAAAACTATAAAAATAAATGAATTGTGAATCTCTTTTACTGTCGGTCTCTTAAAATTTTACCCGCATTTCTGGAAAACTTCGTTCCATGTTTAGGGTAAGGATGATGGGCTGAAGGTCTGGCAAAGGTCAAAGGTTAGAGTCAGACAAATCTCAGCTCTGTGATTTAACTATCCACCTGAGCATGTTACTCAATGATTCTCCATTTCCTTATCTTAAAAAAAAAAAAAATAGAGTAATATCCCCTATGTCATAGTCACTGAACAGATTCAATGAGATAATGTTTATCAATCACCTAGCAGCTCCTACCTATTTCATAGTAGATATTTAATCAACAATCCTTTCTTGTTCTTACCTTTCTGTGAGTAGGGATTGGGGGCTAGAAAGCTGTATTGCTCTTCTTCCAGTGCTATCCTAACACTGTGCTCTACCGGAATCCCAATGTATTAGTTTCACTAGTGCTAATTGCAGCAGGACACTCATCGACAGCCACGCCCTCGGCTACGTGCTTGGAGACATCTTGTTCGGCTTCCAAGGATTGCCCACTACAGGAGGGTCCCTACAGTGTTTCTTTTGTTTGCTTTTGGTTTGGGGAGGCCCAATGAGCTTAGGCTGGGGATAGTCGCTAAGGAAGAGGAAAGGCCCATTTATATCTGCAGGTAGGTCCTCAACCCCAAACAGCATCCATTTCAAAGATTCTTAGGCATGAATAGGCTCTGAAGAGTCGTGTTAAGGAAAGTGAAGGAACCCAGCCGCGTTTGTAATACATTGATTGGAGTTAAGACCGTGAGTTTCAGGGGCCCGGGCCATATATTTTTTTAACATTTTAGAATCTCAATTTTCTAAATCATTTAAAGAGAGAACATTCCTTTCTCGACAGAGTTGTTGGGACTACTAAATCCCAATGTCTGTCAGTATTTGGGGTATCTGGCCAATGTAAGCGCTCAGTTACCTCCATTACCCACCGTCTGTACCTTGGAGGGGGAACCTGGAAAGCAGCTTTAGGGGCCGAGGAAAGGGCGGCGGCTGCTTTACTTTGCCTTAGCGCCTCGAATTTCCTGTCCTAGGAAACCGATGCATTTCCCACTCCTGCCCCTAACGTCTGCAGGGAAAGGAACTTGATGAGGAGCCCTCGTGGTGCAAATGCCTTTAGTCCCAAAGGTCCTCCTCTCTGCAGAATGAACCAGTTCCCCTCCAGCTCGCCGCCACCCCAGGACGCAGGCGCGGCTCAGGGCGACCCCCTCTGGGCAGTGAAGATGAGATCTCTACATGTTTAGGGCAGCTCAGAGGGCCACTCAGCGGCCAAGTCCGGCCGGGGCGGGCCGATGGCGCTGTTTGAGGTCACCCTGGAGACCGGCCGCAGAGTTCGCGGGGAGTGTGCCGGCGGCCGCAGGCTGAGTGAAGCCTGGGAAGCGGAGCCCCGCCGCGCGCAGCGTCCGCAGTGAACTAGCCGGAGGTCTGGGAGGCTCCCGGTAAGGTCGCCCTCTCGGCAGCGCGTCTGAACCCCGAGGGGAGGACAGGGGGCAAGGGAGCGGCCCTTTGTTGAGAAACGGCAAGACTTGGTCGGGATCTCTCCACCACCTTATTCCTCCTCTTCCCAACAAATAAGAAAAAATGGCCCCAAATTTGGGATCTGAAAGTAGGTCCTAGCTGTTCGCCCCCTGCCCCATTGCATGGCTGGGCTTCAAGAGTGATGGCCAACACAGAGCCGGCCAGTATGGTCATCCCCTGGCCCTGGGCAGTCTTCCTGTGGCGGGTCGCACCCATGAGGACCTCCTGGTCCCAACCCTGACCTTTCTTGGGGAGGGGGTGGCCTGCAGGGCAGCTTAGGAAACAGCTGAGACTGAGATGGGTCTATGTGGCTTTACAGTGAAACCTGAATGATCAGTCAGGCATGTGTGTCTTTCCACACTCATAGACACACGCTCAGACACACGAATGCAGACACACTCATACACACAGGCACCTGCACACAGAGATGCACACTCACAGGTACACACTCAAGGATGCTCACACTGACGTGCACACTCACACCACGCTGCCTCCCTCCCCCACACACAGTACCTCTGCGCCGTCACTGATGCCCCTGGGTTTTAGGGTGTGTTCTTGTCTGCCCTACTCACTCATCCGCCAACTCCTTGAAGGTGGATTCTCTTTTATTTTTATATTTTGGTGTCTAGCACAGTATTTTCTTTTTGGGGCTCTCACATTCACAGATTATGAAATAATTTAAATGAATACTTAAATTTGTAGGTAGACACAGGGCGTTAAAGTTATAATCTAAGTTCTGGGAAGTCCATTGCTACTACCAGCTTTTTAACAAGTATTAGTAGGAAGGAGGAAGTTTTCCAATAAATTATTTATTTAAACATTAATTTCTATTTGCTCCTTACAAAGTATGTAACTGTTAAGAAAACAAAACAAACAAGAAATCTTTGGGAAAGACAGTTAATTTTAATTTTAATTTATTTTTTTCTAGCCCACTACCCCTAATTTTAATTCTTAAAGTCATGGCGGGTCAGGGACAGTGGTCTATGCCTTTAATTCCACCATTTTGGGAGGCCAAGGCAGGAGGATCACTTAAGGCCAGGAGATTAAGACCAACCTGGGCAACATAGCAAGACCTTGTCTCTACAAAAATGTTTAAAAATTAGCCAGACATGGTGGTGCAGGCCTGTAGTCCTAGCTACCAGAGACGCTAAGGTGGGTGGACCGCTTGAGCCCAGGAGTTTGAAGTTACAGTGAGCTATGATCATTCCATTGCACTCCAGCCTGGGTAACAAGAGCTAGATCTTGTCTCTAAAACAGTAAAATAGGCCAGGCAGAGTGGCTCACACCTGTAATCTCACCACTTTGGGAAGCTGAAGCAGGATTGCTTGAGCCCAGGAGTTCAAGACCAGCCTGGGCAACACAGACCCTATCTCTACAAAAAACAAAAAATTGGCCCAACATGGTGGCATACACCTGTAGTCCCAGCTACTCAGGTGGCTGAGTTGGGAGGATCACTTGAGCCCAGGTGTTTGGGGCTGTAGTGAGCCGTGATCATGCCACTGCACTCCAACCTGGGTAACAGACCAAGACCCTGTCTCAAAAATAAAATGTAACACTGACAGCAAATACTAATTAGCAAACTTGTATTACAATTAAATTTGGGGGGCAATATAAATATTGGTTTCTTATGTAGGATAGCATCTTTCTTCTATACATGTATATCTTTTTTCAATGACCTCCCTCTTCATTAGTTAAGCATTTTTGCTATAGCTTAATATCTGCTTATGCAAAGTAAGTATATTATTGATAAATAAACATTTTCAGAGTTGTCACAGTTCCAGTTTTACTGATCAGAACTACAATGAATACTATATATTGCTCTTGAGGAAACCCCACTTCCCCGTTCAAAAATGGTAGAAAAGGAATCTGTGTACTTTGAGATTAGTCTCTGTTATACTAACAAAAATGTTTCCAGATATTTCTTTTGCTATTTTACAAAAGTCTTCTTCCATAGGTTATGATGATGTCAGACAATGCTAAAGACAGGGCAGCTCGTTCATGGAAGAAAAGAGGGAGTGTTTCTTCTTTAAGTAATCATGAATTTCGGCGAAAGGAACTTCATGGACACATCAAAGGGTGAGTAACTGTCTAAAACTGTAAATTCATTTATTGAATAAATAGGTTCATAACATTAGAGAAAAAAGCTCTTCCTCAGGGACGTAAAAAGAGATAAAATGGCAAGTACAAGGTTCAGGTCATCTTTAGAGGCCATATTTAAAAAGAAAGAGAAAGAGAGAAAGCTTAAGTGACATGTTAATCCTAGCAGCATTTTTGCTATTTCAAAGATTATCCCAAAAAACCTCCTACTCAAAAGAAACACCACATGGAACGTAAACCAGCGACAGTTATATGTCTTTAGAGTTCTTTTCAATATTTTATAACATAGGTTTTGCATTTTTGTAATTAATAAATACATATACAACATACTTAACATTGTGTTATATGATTTCATCATGTATTTTCAGAGTTTTTTCTATATCCTCTTAAATGCATAATATTTTGTCAATTTATGATTCTGAGTTGCTTAACCATTTTCTAATTATTGCACATTTTAAGTTTGTTTCCTTTTTTTTTTTTCTTTTTCACTATATAATATGCCTCTGTTTGGTCATTTCCCAGAAGAATAATTAGTAGATCAAAGGGTAATAAGTACATTTTTTTTATCTCTTGCTACGTATTGCATCTTTTCTCCTAAAGACATACATTAATTTTTTAATATTTTCATGGCATTTCCTTTTGACTGCTGTTGGGAAGAAAACAAAACGAATTATCGATGTAGCAGTCAATTAATAATAGATTTTCATTCTTGGTTTCTATAGCATTGGAGGATGTAGTATGGTGGGTATATATTGGGAGGCAGGAGCTAGGGTCTGCAGAACAGAGACTAGAAGAACTGGAAGAATTAGAATTCTGAAACCAAAATCTTTCTATTCTCAGAGGGTATTAATGCCTACTTGTAACTACACTTTCCAGCCCTGGAAGTTTGTGGATTACACATACAATGTCTTTTACAGGTGGGAAACTGGCTATAAAGGAGTAGCAATCCCAGCACATGTCAGAAAAAAGTAAAGGTGGGAGAATAATTAACCTTTGTAACTGCTGCTTCTAAGCTCTTCTGGCTGCTATTTCCAACAGTTAAGTGCACGGGTTATTTTTTAAATTATTTAAAACTAATTGTTGACTTAAATTCAACTTACTTTTTCCAGGAAGCTATTTAAGTAACAGTCTGACATAAATTATGTACCCATGATTTTTTTAAAATACTCCCTCCAAAGATTATATTGTCATCCCTATTTGCACGACTTTCACTTACCTTTTCCCCTTCAAAACAAATTCGTCATATAGAATCAGAGCATGGCTATGTTTGAAGAATTAGAGGTCACTCTTTTTAACCTATTATTGATGAAGTATAAATACATATTAAAGGCAACAATAATACAAAATCATATTTATCAACACATTAGGACAGATTTTTCACTGACAACTACATTTAGATAACTATTTTGGTTTTGGACTCTCAAACAAAACATTTAGAATGGATCCTCTAGTAGCAATTTTTTTCTTAAATAGCAAATGATCAGCTTCCAAGTCCCCTTGCAATGCAGACTATTTAGGAGGCTGCTGCCCCCCACGCTAACTTGTATTAATACTTGCTTTCCATTAGCTTCCTCACTGTCTGGAATCAGACAGTATATGTGATTCTCCTTCATGAATGAGGTTTCAACTAGCAGAAAAATTCTGAAAGCTTAGTGATTACCAAATGCAGGCATTGTTTTGAAATTGCAGTGTTTTATGGAAAAACATATACCTTTCATTTAAAAATTATTTTAAAACAATTTTGAAAGTAAAAGTTTCTGTCATGTAAAACATTCTGAAGCATATTAAGGACTGAATACATCAGCTCATTTAATCTCCCCAGCATTAATCCTACTAGGTAGACATCATTTCTACCACTTTACTATGAAATAACTGAAGTTTACAAGTCAAGTAACTTCATTTAATGATTAGGATACAGTCCCAAATTCTGAATATGAGATTCAGAGTCCACAGACCCCTGTCTACTTCCATAGCACCGTCTTCCCCACCATCTGTGGGCATCCTCCCCTCCAGCCATATTCAATTTTCCCTCAGTGCTCTATCCGGCCCCCAGCCATGGCCCCATGTAGCTTCCCCATGGGATACCCGGACTCCTTGCTTGGAATCCTCTTCTTCCACTCTTCCACTGGCTTTTTTTTACTTGCTCCATCAGAATTTAGCTCCATCTCCACCTGTTTGGGAAGTGCTCTCTAATTACCCATCTATGACCATCTCTACCTCCAGACTGGGTTGGATGACCTTCCTTTCTTCTCCCACTGCTTTCGCCTTCTATACATACCTGTATTTGGTGATTTTCTTGTCTATCCCCCTTCAATACACTATGAACGTATCTGTCTGTTTAGCAGTAACCACACTTATAAGGAGGACAAGAAAAACAGAGGTAGACCGCCTTGAAAAGCTGCTTCTTATATGTGGTATAAGATCCGCATGGATTCATCTCTAAGTCTTGATCTCCATGTCTGCATTCTTCCACAGTTGTAACTAAGCTTCACAGTGATCCCCAGAAAGAATAAATATCTGAAATGCCTTCTGAATTATAACAAGAAGATTAAACTTGTATTAAATAATATTGTGAATATAAAATATTTTCAAGATTGGGTCTTTATTTAGGTTATCTTTTCACTTTAATGTAATTTTTATGTTTTATTAAAGAAAAACCAGAAACATCTTAAGCTGGATCTTATTATCCTAACATCGTAACTGTTAGTGTGTTGGCATTTTACTTTCAGACCTGGACATACATATATCAGACGAGACAGTACACTACACAATTGTCACCATACTCCATCTGTAATTTCGAATTACTTTTTACCTAAATAACTTATAAGCATAAGGATGATAATACCTAATATTTATACAGCCCTTACCATGGACCTTATTTATGTATCATAGAAGCTCCATAATAGGAGTTGGCAAACTATGACTCAAGGGCCAATTCCCATCTGCATTCGTTTTGCTAAATATGGTTTTTACATAGGTCAAAAAAAGTCAAAAGGGGAACCGTTTTTTTTGCACCATGTAAAAATAATAAGAAATTCAAATTTCTCTGTGCATAAAGTTTATTAGGACACAGCCATGCCTGTTCACTTACACATTGTCTCGGGCTGCATTTGTACTGTTACAGCAGAGTTGAGAAGTCACAATGGAAACCATAGGGCCTGCAAATCCAAAAATATCTGCTATTTGGCCTTTTACAGAATGTTTGCTGACTCCTGCCCTATAAAGATAGATGTTATTATCTTTCCCATTCAACAAATGAAGAAGCAGAAACCTAAAGAGATTGAGGCTCCAAAGCTACAGAATTAGCAAGCAGCGAAAGGGACTTTTATTAGTCGAATATTTTCATTTCCCCAAAATTGGCAATCCATGTGTGATTTGCATTAATAAAACTATTCTATTCATTCAGCAGAACCTTCTGTTTCCCATCCACAGTTAGTGCAGGTCTTTACAATGATATCAGGCTTTGACAGACACTGAACAGTATTTGAACAGATGTGCTTCTCTCATTTTCTTAAACTGGAAACAGAAGCTATGAGGTCAAGTTACTTTCACGGGATCACGTGACATGATATCCAGGCTTGTTATCTGTGAACCCAGGATTTCCACTAGTAGATTAGGGACAAGGTTGGGGGCTGAACATTCTCTCCTTTGCCTCAAACCAAATTACAGTGATGTCATGTTACCAGAACTTTCTGTATCGATCCCACGGCTTCCCGTGTGAACCCACCGATGGCATCTAACAGACTAGTTAGGCTACACTATATGTATTACTTAGTTAGTAATACATACTAGTTAGGCTATACTATATGAATTTCTTCATTTATTCAGGATTTATTGGCTTCAACTATGTGCCAATTACTGTGCCACATATTAGACATGTAAAGGTGAATAACTATAGGTTTCTAATTTGGATAAGTTCATTTTTCAGGGAAACTGAGAGCTGCCTGGTAACTTTTTTCACATTATCTAGTCTTCCCAGTAAAAGTGACCAAAATGAAAACTATTGCATTCATTACTTCATTTCAACAGTGATGAATTTATTCTATCATTCAGTCTAAACAACTGTGAGCTGCGTGTGGGCAGCCGAAAATGGTGTTGCCTGAACAATTTCTTCATTTTGATACCTGAAGGAAAAGACTAGAGAGTAGAAGATCAAAGTTAGAACATAAGTCGTAACACCATCTATGTTAAACTAAAGCCCCCAACAAGATCTGGCTGAGATACAGCCTCCCCCTAAAAGAGAAAATAGTTTGGGAAAACTGAAATGGCCATGTTTCCAAATGAAACCACAATAACAACTAGTAGTGTATTGTACTTTAAGATATTTTATCCCCATTTATTTTTGTAAATGGGGAAATCATAGATTGTGTTGGCAAAAAGCTGGCTCACTATATGGAGGAAAATGAAGCTGGCCTCTTAACTTATACACTTCGCATAGGTCAACTCCATATGGAAGACCAAATTGTGGAAATCTATTAATACAAAGCTAATAGAAGAAAGCACAGACCCATATCTTCGTGTTCTATGAGTAAGGAAAGACTTCTGAAAGAAGATCCCAAAATGAAAACTTAAACCACAGAGCAAAAAAAATTTGGATAAATATAACCACAAAAAAATCTAGCACTTCTGTTCAACAAAGGATATGATAGACACAGTTAATAGGCTGGTCAAAGATATATATATATATAATCCTGCACATTAACAACTTAGGCTTGGAAAACAACTTTTTAAATAGTCAAGGAAGATAGTAATTTACAGAAACAAAGCCCAAATGGCTACGCAGAATATGAAGAGGGGCTGAAACTCACTTTCAGGCAGAAAAAAATGTAAATTAAAACAAGATACCATTTTGCACGCATCCAAGTGGCAAAACATAAGAGAATAATACCAGATGTCAGCAAGGCATGTGAGAGTTAAACCTGATATCGCCATTTGGCAAAGAAAGCTAATGGTATTTAGAAAATACAGGGGTATGTCTG